AAGACTTTTGGTCATTATAAACCGTCTAGTTCGTGTCCATTCAGCAACGTTAGTATTACTCGTCGATCTAATCGGCGATTCACCGAATAGTCTCATATCTCGCCGATTTTTACAGGGCTTCCAGATTACATGGAGGTTCAAACGGCGGACACTAGCGGGATCACCAACCAATTCTGTGATTCGCCAACTGGATCCTTATTTCGCCAACCTGCACTTTTCAACACATTCTTTGTTTTAACCTATAAAATTAACACACCATTATTTATAAAAGTAAACTAGAGCATTTAAAACCTTGGGTTGCCTCCCAAGAAGCGCCTTATTTAACGTCGTAGCTTGACGTGAGCTACCAATCAAACTTCGACTCTGGGTTAGACCTAATGCCACTAGGCAACCCGCCTTTACTGCTTAGGTAGAGATGAGGCAATGTGAGATCCAAGACGTCTTCAATCAACCTGATTGATCTTTAGTGGTAGCCACTCATCTGATTCAGTATCTCCAAGCTTTCCCTCATCGCCTCTAGCATTCTATCTTGCTCGTGAAATTTTGGAGAATGATTAATAGTGTATCCTCGATACTTTTATTTTCGTTGCTCCTAGACCTTTCTCGCTCATAAGGAGGTATGTGCCTCTTTTGGCTTCAACTGGTTTTCCACCTTTGAGATTTTTGGTTCAAGTCATTCAGCTGAGTTACCAGTGTAGCTAACTTGAAGCCACCCTCGAATTTTTGGTTCATCTCAGCTAACTTGCCACCACTTCCCTCAGCCATGCCAGGGTTTCTGCATACAACAACTTAGAGAAAACAAAATGACAAATAAAACTAGTAAACTACGATAATTGAAAGCAGAATTCAAATCAAGCCAAAAACATTCAAGTAACACCACTCCCCGGCAGCAGCACCATTTTGATATTTCCGTAATAGAGAAACAACTTTCGATGCAAGTGTCTACGATCGTACAATAGGTTAGTAACCCAACCAAGGTTTGGGGTCGAGTCCCAAGGGAGTGGGCGTGAGAATTAGTGGTTAAGGGCAAAAGTGCTAAAGCTAATCAAAGCTAAAGACTTTGGCAAATGAAAACATAACAAATTAAAAAGGGTGACGCAAGTGTCAAGTATCAAATGGGGGTTTGAAAGCAAGGAACAACTAAAATAGTTAAAATAAGGAAAAAATACAAGTGATGACGGGATTCTTGGGATGTGTAGGAATACGGGATAGACTAAATCATTAGGTACATGCTTTTGATAGTGAATTCATTGAGTATTTGTGACTAGGCTAGACTTTAAGGGGATAAGCTCTTTCTCGAGCAACTTACCCCGTTTCAAATGTGTTCCTCTCGGACACCCACTTGCTGCATGAAGAACAGCCTCCGCCTTAACCCACTCACTCTCTCGAACTAAGTGTTGGACCTGGGACTAGGGTTCACTCTCTCGAGTTGAACCTCATGTCGACCCACTCACACTGGACATCAATTTAGTGGTCTAGTACGACCTCTCTCTCGAGCATGCCAAAGACACATATATGAGATTATATTTTCAACTACAACCTCATTAAGTTCATCCACAACCACTAAATGAAATCACATTTAAACTAATAGAATATCAACAAGCAAGATCCAACAACTAATCTAACCATATTCACAAAATCACACCCTAAGAATTGGGGTTTTAGCTACGTATGTAAAAGAGATAAAGACGTATACCAATATCAGTTTCCATCAATGGGTATGCAAGATTAAGTCTTAAAACAAGCCAAAGGTGAAGAATCCAAGAGACCCAAGCCAATTTCTTGAATTTGAAACCCTTTGAAAATTCCAAGTTCTTCAAAACCCTCTCCAAAACTTAAAGAATATCTCCAAAATTCTGTCTCAAACTAATAATAAAAAACTAGAATAATAAACAAGGTAAAATTCGCTACTAAAAATAAAAA